GACTTGTATCATTTTTCTGATGCAGCATACCACAATGCATGATAGTGCATTGTCATGTGGGGCCCTCAGCGAATGTGTCTGTTCTCTTTCTTATTTTATTCTCATTTATTCTTCAAGGTCAAACACATTACTACATGAATTCCATATGTAATAATTTTTAAACAATCACATATCTATTATGAATTCAATATGTAAATAATTTTAAACAATCACATATCTATATATGATTCAAATTTGTAAAAGCTATTTTTTAATCCTTTTGCACAATTTAGTTTATTAAATCCTTATGGTGACCTCCAAAATATTGGTAGATTGAGAGTATTTTATCTTACTGTAGATATTCCTTGTGTTACTATATGTTCTTCAGCCATTATTAGTGCAGTTACAGTATATATGTTCTGTAATGTTTGTGTATGTTGGTATAATAATATTTATACAGAGATTACTTGATTATTTAGACAGTTCTAAATATGATTATTTATTCCTTGTCATACTTGCGTTTATAATGGACGCAACCACTTATATTGGATATGTATTCATTGATAATCCTAGATGTCTGTTTTTTTTCCTAGCTGCCAAATTGTAGTGTGAAATTATTCTGTTCTGTGATGCAGCTATGTTGCCTTGGTAACATCAAAATGTTGATTGTGAAATCATCTAGGTGATCAGCCAAAGGAAGTGTAAACCCATTTTCTGCCTCTTTTTTTATTGGTGATGCTGTACAATCCTGGCCCTGTCCCAAAACATGTATTACCATGGCTATTTTTATTATATATTATATATATATATATATATATATATATATATATATATATATATATATATAATAGAAAGAGAGAGAGAATAATCAATTTTGGCTACCATCTAGAAGAAAGGGTTAATTTTGAGTTTTAGCCAGTAGTTTGGCTTCCTCTATGTTAATGCTAATGAACTTGTTTAACTGGTTCAAAAGGGCTGGTTGAACAGGAAGGGATGATGGCAGGAAATGGGATGACGCAGGAAACAAGCTCACACAGCCATGTGCTGGAGGAACACACAGAGCTTGTGAATGGAAAGATGGAAGCAGCTATGTCTGTGTTCCCTGACCAAACATCGCGATCATTACAATAGCAAGCATCAGCCATCAGAACGGATTGCCTAATACAAAGTAACAATTAATTGTGTATATTATTGTTATATGCAGAAAATAGAATAAATAGATAGTTTAGGGTCAGCTGCATGTGTTGGCATGTGTATGGATAGATTCACTTTTTTCCTCTCTGCCTTTGAATCTATGTAACTCATGTAGCACTACCCCCTTAGGGGTTGCTTTTGATTTGGATCCCCCTATAGTCCTGCACAGCCAGGCAATCTGCATTCTCCACACAAACTTGAATTCAAAGTCAGAAATCAGTTCTTGAGTGTTTGTTTTGTTGCTTATTGAGGGGATTAGAACTGGGATAGGGTAAGGGGAGTATAGGATGCCCAAGGGAACCGATAATTGAGGACAAACTTTCTAGAACTATTCACAAGCTTCTCTTCTGCAACACAGTCTCTGTTGGAGAGTTAGCCAGCATCTCCTTGATGTACCATCCCAGACCCTAGATGAAATTCTCCTCTTTACCCAGCATTCTGGATATTCTCCTGACAAGGAGATTTTGCTCCTGTCCCTTTTAATGAGGTGAACAGTCACTAGTAGGGGGCTAATCTGGTTTCCCACCAGAGTGCTCCTTCCCCTCTCCGGCCAGGGGGTGCATGTTTATTCACTCAGGTTCTCTGCTGTACCACTCGCTTGCAGGTTGGCTGCTGCTACCAGGCCTATCAGCTGGGCTGCCCTTTCCCTGCCATACAGGTGGTGCTCTCTCAGGGGGCCAGTGAGCTCTAAGTTTTCCATCTCCGTGCTCGCAGGCAGGCCCCATCCCACTAGGCCTCCTGGCAGCCTTCTTCCTATGCCTCACATTTTCCTCTCCACATTACAACTCTAACTCTCCTGCTACTGAGCAGGGTCCAACACCTTCAAGGGTGTCCCAGCCCCTTGCCAAGCCTTCTGTTGGGGTTGGCTGACATCCCTCAAGAATGCAGCCAGCCACTCCTCAGATCCACCCACTGCTTCCAAGGCCTTCCTCCAAAAGCCTCAGGCAGGAGGAAATTCCAGAGGGGCTGGCCTTCAGAGCCTCTCAGCCCTGACCAAAATTTGACCCCTCTACTCAGCTCTTGTCTAACCATTAGGACCCAGATCCCCCTAGCTAAACTAAAAGGGTGCTACATTTATATTTTTAATCCCGTAAAGATACCCTTTTTACCCCATATTTTTCGTAAATGTCTATACTTCCTTGAAGATTGCTATACAACCTGAGACATACGTGTATATAACCAAAGTAATACAATACACAAATCAGGGATTACAATGTATATTTTTTACAAAGTGGCTTAACATTTACAGCCAAGCAGCCACAAAACCTTAAATGCCCAATGCAAATAAAGAAGCTTTGCTTTACTAACCACTATGTCACAGCTGAATTGATATACCAAACTGTGCTAGTCTGACACCCATGTACATAATACATATGCTGGCTATACACATAATGACAATCAATCCATCAATTATACATAGATCAGCAATAACTTTATGACTACCCACCTAATATTGATTAGGCCCCCCTTTTGCCATCAAAACAGCCCTTTCTTCTACCTAAACAGCCCTGACCTATTGAGGAATGGATGCCACTAGACCTCTGAAGGTATGCTGTGGTATCTAGCACCAAGCCATCAATAGCAGATTCTTTACATCCTGTAAGTTGTGAGTTGGGGCCTCCGTGGATCAGACTTGATGTCAAGCACATCCCATAGATGCTCAGTTGGATTGAAATCTGGAAAATGTGGAGATCAAGTCGACAACTCACCCTCATTGGGTTCCTCAAACCATTCTTGAACTATTTTTGCAATATAGAAGGGCTCATTATCCTGCTGCAAGAGGCCACTGCCATTAGAGAATACTGTTTCCATGGAAGGGGGTACTTGGTCAGCTACAATGTACTGGGTGCTATCCAGGGGCGGACTGACCATTTGGAAACTCGGGCACTGCAGGAGGGCCCGGGTCAGTAGGGGGCCCCATGAGATGCCCCTGGTACCGTTTTCATAGGCTTTTTGGAGTTTGGGCAAGGACACAGGGGCCCCATGATCCCCTATTGCCCGGGGGCCCCATGAGTTGTCAGTCCGCCCCTGGTGCTATCTCTTCCCCAGGTAAGAGGTGCACACACAATCGGCCATCCACATGATGTGAAAGAGAATGTGATTAATCAGAATGCTCAAGTACCTATCGTAGGTGCTTTTGGCTGAGGACACTGGTCAACATGAGCAACCTGATGGGTCTGTGGCTATGCAGCCCCATACACAACAAACAGATTTCAGGACATCAACTTCATGAACAGTATGTTTTCTTGCTGCCTAATATATCCCACTGACTTTCAGATGCCATTGCAACAAAATAATCAGTGTTATTTACTTAATTACTGGGGACCTGTATGTCTGTGCATGGAAGGAAACATTGGTGGATTTTCATTAAAAAAAAGAGGGAACAGAAGACATTTTAAGTGGAATACAATTCTCTACAGACGGAATGTTGATGTAACAGGAAATATTTTGGTGTGGATTTAAAGAAAGTTTCCGAAGAAAAGTGTCTGCAGTCTCTGGTCATTTTCTGTACTATGTCTGCAGTCCTTTGTTTCAGAATATTTTTTTTCTGGTTTTTCACCTCTTTTATATTTATATATATATATACACATACATTAATTTCACCAAAGCGCTGATCATAGAGCCTCACTGTGATCATATTAGGTATTGCCGCCTATTCTGTTATTCACATCAGTCAGATATATGTTCACAATATGCATGTAATTTACTGGCTCATATAAGCACTGCACCTTTTCTGCATTTATTATTACTGAGGATACCAAGGGCGGTCCTTTAGTGCTAGCAGCTTACCCATACATAATCATCTTTTCTTTGAGTGCTCACTGACTTTCTATACTGTTATTTACTTAACCTGCCTGTGGTCATAAAGTTATGGCGGATGGGTGTACAGTAGATTCCTTCCAAAAATGTTTGTTCAGCACAACAAAGAAAAAAAATTACATGATCAGGCTGGATTTGCTGTACCCGCAGTATGAGCTATTGCTTTTTAGTGGTAACAGTTATTTATTGATTAAATCAACTACTTGGGTGCAATCCATGTAATGATATAGAACAACCAACCAGCACACTGGCAAAACCTATGTAGGAGCCACAGGAATACTGTCCAGGTCTTCCCCAAATGCTTTGCCCCACTGCCAGGCACGTACTGTAGGCTCATTCACACATTTCTTCAATGACCAATCTAGGAGTGTTTTTTTGTTTATTGTTTGGGAGAACATGGGTAGAGTTGAGGAAAGGGAGTGGGATACTCTATAAACAGGAATGCACAGTTGAGGACTCGGGTATTCTTCAGGACAAGCCATGTTAAAGTCTGTGCGTGCAACAAACCGTGGACTTCAACTTTAACCTCTTCACAAATGTGCGGCCTCCCAGCGTCTGGGCCTTGATGCCGAGCGGACACACATTTGTGTGCAATTAAAAAAAACATATGTGCTGAGAGCATGCGCCCTGCGCGCTCCCAGCACACATGTCTGGTACTCACAGAAATGTCCCGATCTCCTCTTTCGATCGGGACCTTTCCCGATCATGTGCCTGTTGTGATGGCGAATCACGGTGGTCACATGACCCTAAAACCCCGCCCCGCCTCCCAGCTTCTGAAACCCTTAAAGGGTCGGGAGGCGCCGGCGCCAAGGGGATAAGTGGTAATAACAGTAGTAGTGACTCTTTCTCTTAAAGCCCCAAGAGCAATATCCTTTTTTTAAGAAAGAGGACAGCTCTTCAGCACACTAGCAGGTGTCCCCTTTAGCTAGACCCACAGCTGACAACCTAGCATCAAAGGGGTTAAAGCAGCACAAAATCTCTAAGATGCTTTATAGGTCTGTACTCACAAGGCCAAGAACAGCTGGTTGCCTTCCTCCATGATACCAGACCAGACCATCAGTAGATGGCCCCTCAGTCATCTTTAGCAGTATCCAGGTCTCAGCACGCAGGCCCTGAGGTCGCCCACCTGAGTCCACATAGCAGCAGTTGCCTGGGAGGACAGCATGCCCCCTCCAGGCTGGACCAATCATGTAAAGGAAAAGACCCGGAACCCAGTGTACTCACAGAATATGTACAGTTACCCAGCATGCCTTTAGAGCCAGTCTCTCTGGGTTGGGTCAGAACTGTATCAATATTCATGCTGCTATCTGCATAGCTCCACACTTATGATTCAGTATCTTCTCAAACGTTCTGGATGCAGAGGGAGGTATCAGCCTGGCAGCAGATTATCACATAGCAGACCTAACTGGCAGAACACAGCAGTACTGATTACAAAGTGCAAGTTATACTTTAACCTAACAATAATGACACCCACACTGACTACAGTCACACTATGTGACAACAACTAAATCTAAACCTAGCACCTATCTAGAAGGGTGCAACACTTTGAAGAGATTATGAAACCTCTTAGGTACAGTCAGAAAAATATTCTTCTCTCCTATCAAGTATAATTACAAAAGAGTCTGCACTTAAATAGCTTTACTGCTCTTAGCAAAGAATGGCGCATCAAATTTTGGAGGCCAAGTAACTGATAAATGATAAGATATTAAAACTGAATGAAACCATGCTCTGCCACTTTACGTCTTCAAGGTACTCTAAGTCATCTTATAGATCGTTAAGGACCCATTCACAGTGATTACTGCGAAGATCTTGCTCACGGCAATCATCACTAAGTAGTCAACTTGTCACAGCCTGGACTGAAACAGAACCAACAAAGGTGGAAGCTTTTTGTATTGAGAGGAAAGCAGGCATTGAAGTGCAAGCCATGAAAGCATGGAAACAAGCAGAATCTCAAGCCTCCCAAATGCAAGCTTGTCAGGCAAAAGCCCAGCTACTGTAAATGTCCTCCAAAAGAAAAGAAAGCATCAGCTTTGGCTAAGCTCATAGTTTTGAAGAAGCCATGGAGGAAGGAGTCCATCATCATTTTGATAGCCTACGTTGACCCTTCAAGATGGACCTTGCAATTCATCCTATGCCAGAACAAAGTCAACACAATTGCACAGGATGCTTCAAATCTTGTGCATCAACCCACAGTACATTCACCAGCAGAAGAAGCTGCAACAAACAACTACCAACAAACTCTTGCACATTGGACCCTCTCTACATCCTAAATTAGAGATGTCTTATGAAGCAACTAATGTGTGTAGCACCCTCTAGTGTGCTACTAGAATAGTGTAGTGTATTGTAGGTAAAATCACTGTGTATGACTCATGGTAACTGTGTGAGTCTGTGATTGAGGTTGGGTTATTGAAGGTCAGCTGGATGACTTAACAGGCTGTGGCTCTATCGCCTCCTCCTGACTCTGGAGGACCATGGAACCTTCCAGAAGTCAGTAAGCAGGAGGGGTTGTTTATGGGAGTCTGGCCAATCCCAGGTTTTGAGGCTCTAGGAGCGTGGTAAACTGGCCCATAAATATGGGAGAGTCAGACTGACAGAGGAGTTGGGTGTGAGATGGAGTGCTGAGGAGACTACTCTCGGTACCTGGGAGGGGTCCCCTAGGTCTGGGGGGGGGGGGAAACGCTGGCCTCCAGGCTGGGCTTGGGCTGGGAGGATATACATTCAGCAGTGCATCATGAATGGGATCAAAACATGGAGCAGTGGGAGCAAAGAGGACAGACTGAGTACATCAGCACACCTGGGGATCCACAAGGGAAAATACTGAGGGGCGTATTTACCACAAGGCAAACAAGCCACTTGCCTAGGGTGGCATTTTTCAGGGGGGCAGCACCTCCCCCCCAGAAGAAAGGATAAAAGAAGAGACACGCATGCCATAGGAACCAGGTGAGATCTGAGAGAGGCTGCAGGGTGCTTGGTGGTGTATGTAGAGCCTGACTCTTGTTCCTGGGGATGTCAGGAGCTGTGAAGATGAGTGTCTTTCTCTCTATTGCTGGGGGGGGGGGGTAATGGAAGTCTCTCCCAGGTGGGAGGCAGGGGTGTTGTTGGTCAATGTCAGGCTCTCTCTGCAGGAGGAGGAGGAAGGGGGGGGGGGTGTTGGTCATTGTCCATGGGTGCAGATGATTTTTGTGTTGCCCAGGGCAGCACAAAACCTAAATACACCACTGGAAAGACTGACACGCTGGACTCAATCTTTTATCCTGTCCCGGGAGATCTTTAGAGCAGCCAGGAGGGCTGGTAGTGTCTGCAGGCTGTGGAGCTGGGACCTGGTCTACTGGGTGAGAAGACATGCTGCTAGTTCCTCGCCCATGAAGGGTTGTTGCTACTGATCCACAAAGACTGAAGGCTTTCAAGGAAAAGAACAGTCCAGGATCTGTTTCTATACATAGGAAGGAAGTTGTCCCCCCTTCATTGATTCAAGCCAAACTGGGCATCCCATAATCCCTATTTCCCTATCCAAATTATTTCCCCCTAATACAATAACAAAACCATGCTCATGGACTCTTCACTGACTGTGGATGAAAGTGTGGAAAATGCCTGTTGCCTGGTTGTACAGAGCTTAGGGGTTCCCACAATACAGCCGCTCCCTAACGTGGGTAGTGATAGATGTGTCATTGCAGATAATCCTGAATCCTGCACAACAGATCCCCTGGTTACACTTTTTGGAGACCCACAAGACCTCCTGATCCCAAGCTTTACCCCTCCCGACTGTTGATCATGTGATGCACTGACAGCCTAATCCCAACAGCACAATGCATGCACTGCACTTTATTTATGACATGGACTGCTGTTGTTCCTTTCTTCTGCATCTTTTGGCAGGGAGATAGCATGGTAAAGCAGATCTTTGACTTTTTCCCACAGCTCTATTAAGCTCCACTCTTCTTACTCAGTTAACACATCCCCAACCCCTCTCAGCTTCTCCCCATCAACTCTAGCAGGTTTCACCATGAAAGAAAGCCATTAGACTAGCCCAAATTCCCAAATTTCTTATACAGTAAATACTAAACTATAAAAAAAATAAATTTAAATAAAAATAAAGCTGGTAAAGAAAGAAATGGGGGTTAGGTAGGAGGTGACAATCCCATAAGGCCACTTTTCTATTTTTTATTTTGTGATCCTGACTACTGGTGGGCCAAACACCCCCCTGTTCGGTTCGTGGTTGAACATTCAAACCTATGAAAAGTTCAACATCTGAGTATGCGGTAAGATACCGCTCAGCTACTAAAATGCTGCATGAGTTATACTATTAAGTCATGAGGTATTTTAGTAGTGAAACATTCTTTAATGTTTCAGCTGTCAGCGGGGTTCCCTGCTTACAGCTAAATGTCAAAATTATTGTCGGCATTTCCTGACAATTCTTTTTTTTTTTTTTTTAAAAACAGTGTGGGGTCCCCCCTACCATCCATATCAAGCCCTTTGGGTCCGGTATGGATTTTTTTAAAATGGTGGTCCCCCAAAATCCATACCAGAATCTTATCAGAGCATGCAGCCTGGCAGGTCAGGAAAGGGGAGGAGAACGAGTGAGCGCCCCCTGAACCATACCAGGCCACATGCCCTCAACATGAAGGGGGGGTGCTTTGGGGCAAGGGAGCCTCCCCTCAAAGCGTCCTGTCCCCATGTTGATGGGGACAAGGGCCTCTTCCTCACAACTCTGGCCGGTGGTTGTGAGGGTCTGCGGGCGGGGGGCTTATCTAACTCTGGAAGTCCCCTTTAACAAGGGGCCCCCGCATCATGCCCCCTCTATGTGAATTAGTATGCGGTACATGGTACCACTACCCATTCACAAAAAAAAAAATGCAGTGTAAAAAAGACAGGAGACAGTCTTTGACAAATCCTTTAATAAAAACTAAAATTTAAAAAATGTCTCCCGAAGTAGATCCAACGTCAATCATTTTGCCCGCCGCCACCACCGTGGTCAGGTGCATTGCTTTGGCGAATCACAATGCACTGTCAGGACACAGTGGATTGTAGGACACCACGGGCAAACAGCTTGCTAAATGCCCTAACCGTTTGTGTGTTCAGCAAACATACGAACGGCCAATGTTCGAGTTGAACTTGCGTTCGACTCGAACATAAAGCCCAATACTAATCCTGACATTAGGAAGGTCTTCTGATGAGTGAAACCCATAGTGGATTTTTGCATATACCAATAGTGAGAATATTAATTAAAATATAGGATACATATATTCTCACTTACATTTAGCGCAAATATTTTATTAGGTATTTTAGTGCATTTTTGCCATAACTGAAAGATAAATTTCTACTCACATTTTGAGCTGCTTAGGCAAAATTTGCCATTTTCCTTGATTTGGGGTGGTGTATTTGGGGTAGTTTAGTTCGCTTACTTAGTATTGTTTGTATGTGTTTGTATTTTATGTATGTGTGTATTATTGTTTTAAATGAATTTATGTTTTCTGTGTTTTCCCTCTGAGAATAACATAATATAATGATGCGCTAATTTGCCAAAAGGTCGAGTCTAGGATATGTGAAATGAACTTCTATAACCCTCAGCTAGCCATTTACAGCCTTAATAACCACCAGACCACCAATGCATTTCGCTGAAATGGCAAAATCTCCTGATTTTTCCAAAATTGAGGGGAATGAAGACTGCGAATTTAGCTCATCCCTATTAGTATGAGGGGTATGGATTGTAATAGGAGGAAGCGCTCTTGTCTTTGCCCCGGAGTCACTCCTAACAGGAGGAGGTTGGCCAGCCTCTATGTTTTCACAGGATGCACACTGATTGTAGACACTTCTCTTTGGTCACTGTTGTATGACAGAAGGCATCCCCAGCAACCCTTTATATGTGCCTGTTCTTCATACAACCCTGCCATTCAGAAAGTGTCTGAAAGAAAAACTGTTACACAGAAAGCTAGTAAAGGCCCAACTCCAGCGCACCCCTATTCATTGATAATGAAAACCTGTAAAGTAATACTGCCTACTATGTCAGACTTGCCATGACATTTCTAATGCAGGCCATACATGTTTTGAATTCGAGCGATTTTTCCGAAAATCAAAAAGTCGTTCGTTCTGTAATGCGATGGTGCCACCAATGACTTCGAAAATCGGTCGTTTTTTACAAATTTTCCAGCATGCCCAATAAACGAAATGGGGAGGAACCACGAAAATCGGCCAATTATTCTTAGGTCCGATTTTTGTACGAAAA